CTACTAAGGTAAGCCTGGAACTCGGTTCTTTACTTATCCCACTAACTAGATTGGGGTGGGCAAATAATGGCCCACGAGCTGGATCCAGCATGCCATGGTTAGCCAGGCACCCACCACTATATTTACCGGCGCCTCCGCAGGTATGGGAGATCTCAGCTCCCGTTTGCCACGGATCACGCATGGTGATCTGCGGCCAACAGGAGCGGCGATCCCTGGTACCTGCGGAGGTGCAGTTAAATAAAGTGGTGGCTGCCACCAGAGGCTAATCCTGGTGAACCACCACCATTTTATTGCCCACCCTGGAACTAGATGTTGTTGAGGATTCCTGATATCAGGTCATTTTATGGCATTGCTGCTGAGGCAGATTAAAGGCAACATTTCAGTTCACGCGACAAGCTTCCTGTCTATTTTGGGTGTAAGTCAGATTCTTAACATTATCTCATTGTTATTTTGTGGTTGAAAAATATTCACTCACAGCAGTGTCAGGCTGAAATCCTACAGCACAGGGACTGAGCACTTTTGTTTTAAATGTTTAAATGTTTTTGTGGAAGTAAATCTCACAAAAAATGAAGTTCAGCAGAAAGTCAAAAGGAGAGTTGAGACCACAGAAATGAAAGGAACTCTACAACTATATATTCATATTTTCCAAATATAGGATTTCACCATCATCTACAGTTTTAACAAAAACAGCTTCTTTTCTGTGCTCTCATTAGGAAAAATGTTGCATTTAGTGTTTTGAACTTCAGTTTCTAATTATATTTCCATACTGTAATGCTGACTGAAATGCAAATTTGATGACAGAACAATTCAATCCATGTAAAATAATCACAAAATTACTGTTTCTCAAACCTCAATTTTTCCTCCCTGCTATTTAAGAAGATAAATTTAACAGCAGTAAGAGTGGAGCCAAAACACTATTTTTAACTGTTATCAGACTGTAGTTGTCTGCACTGATTTCATTTTGTTGCAAATGGTTCCTTTTGAAATGTGAATACCGAAAACATTACAGAAATTGGCTTTTGTATTTGAACTTGGTACAAACCATGGAGTAATCATTTACTTTGCCTTCCCAATATCATACACATGGCATCTGGGGTTAGTTAAAAAGGCAACTCTTGATTAGAAGGCTAAATCTCCCCTGTTACTCAGTTGTCACTTTAACTGTTTGTTGCCAGTGTGGGTGAGACATATGATCATGATTAAATTACTTTTACCAGGGTTGAAATTAACTTCTGGAAAAAAAAAAGATTTAAGGGCCTTCTGCTCCACTGGTTTTCCCATGGTGTGATTCCACTGATTACAATGCAGTTACATTAGTTTTATGGTGGTGTAACAGAGTGGAACATTGGGCCCTTAAAATGCCAGCAGAATCGGCATGCTTGAAAGATTTTCAGATTCATGTAAGAAGATTCAGAGTATTACATGTAGGAAGCATTTATTAAAAGACAGTTTACACTGTTGGAAAGAATTGGCTTTTATTTTTCTAGCCTAGATTCAGATTGTCATTGTTCATCAAACTCATGCAGATCAAAGTACAACACACTGAAAAGCAGAGCTACTTCTAGAGTGAATCTATCAAAAATTTGAGCATGGTTTATAATTTTATTAGTAGAATTCAGTTTTGCAATGAGCTTTATATTCCATTTTTAGCCAAGATCTTTCTTAAGGTGAAGTACTCTGATTCTACAGTAATCACCAATCAGTTCGCTCTTCTTTATGGATAAAGAGACAAGACTGTATGAAGGGATATTCTCCTGATGTGTGTAAGGGATTGGCATGTGTAACTCTTATTAAGACTAATGGGAGTTACATGTGGCAATCCCCATACAGCCAAATGAGAATGTAATGTCACCTAAGGGTGTAAGCAATTCACTGTAAGAAAGATTTGTGGTTTTCAAAGCAGAAGTTTACATTTTAATGTCATATCTCCACAAATATCTCAACCACCTTCTTCTGAGACTAGATAGGAGGGGAACCCTGAAGGTCACCCTCCCACTCCCTCGCCAAGTCAGTGCGGTAACATGGGGTCATCACATGGAAAAAGTTGAGAAATCAAATTCTAAATTATTAACTCAGAAGGTGATATATCAAGTGTTAGACTGAAAAATGCTTCATAACACACAGGATTAAGTAGACTTAAAATAAACTGTCCCTGGGAGCTGTGCATAACCTTAGGGACCTTTATCATTGGGCATCTCTCTCATTTCAACTGAAACACAGACATGTGCATTTTTCAGTTTCTGCACATTGAACTCAAGGTCAGCCCATCAAACAGCCAACTTACTCTGTTAAATTCTTAGCAGTAGATAAAAACACAAGGCATTCTTCTGATATTCACATGGGACTCAACTCTGAGATGGAATGAGTGTCTTTAGATCCCATTTAAGTCAATGAAAGACAATTTCATCACCTTTCAGAGTTGGACAACATTTCGTTCACTCAGGTTAATCAATAATCTTGTTCTTCAAACCTTTTGCAATAACATTGCTAGAACCATTTTGATCAAATGGGGAACTGTTTGTTGTCCTTCCATATATCAAACTAATCCTTTTATTAACACTTGATATTACTAAAGCAAAACATATCTTTAAAATGTGGAACACTTTGTGATTTTTAATGAATGGCACATGGCCAACCACTACATGAGTTATTTTTCACCTAACAGGCATTTCTGAGGATATTAAACAATATAATCTATGGGATATTTTATTAATACCATAAGTCATTGTTTCTCAAACTGTGGGTCCCGACCCCCTGGGGGATCGCAAGCAACTTGGGGGGAGGGGGAGTCACGGTATCACAAAGTTTGAGAACCCCTGCCATAAGTTATGTGCTTGTGCCTCAGCATTCTTTGTGTGGCACTAGTTAAACAATAAATGAAGCTTGATAGATAATGGTTTACACACATGGGACAGATCCTGAAAATGTGAATATAAATAATTTATTGCCTCTCTCAATGCAAATAAGTAATTGACTGGTATACATAATTACTTTCAGGTTCTGACCTGTCATTAACAATGAGGCAATATATGTGCTTTTAAACATTTAGGGTTGGATTCCGCCTTTACTTGTTGTGTGGTACCTTACTGAATGAGTAAGTTTCCTTGATATCAGTGAGCCTGATTTTTGTAATTTCTCCTGATACTTGATGGATATATGCGACATGGAGTCTTGTGGCACCTTATAGACTAAGAGATGTATTGGAGCATAAGCTTTCGTGGGCAAAGACCCACTTCGTCAAATGACATGCATCTTTGCCCACAAAAGCTTATGCTCCAATACATCTGTTAGTCTATAAGGTGCCACAGGACTCCTTGTCACTTTTGCAGATCCAGACTAACACGGCTACCCCACTGATATTTGGTGGATATATGGTGATCAGTTACTAACAGTACAAATGGCTCACCTGTGCACTGGGTTCACAATCTAGAGCAACAGGACAACTGACAGAATAAGATTCTAATACTACTCTTATTCTCTTGAAGGAGAAACAAATTTTCATTTAAAATCTTACGTGATCATGAAGTTAATATGATTAACCATTTGAGTAGTTACAACATGATAGATCTTAATTAAAATGTGCTTAAATAAAAAAGTAGAGTGTACATAATATCTGATGCTTCACCACTAGATTAAAAATTAAGTTTAAAAATATAGATCTTGGAAGTATTGAATTTTTTTGACAGAAGATTTAAACTGCAAAATATAGATTTAATATCAAGTACAACTGTCTTAAGATTTTAGATGTGTTTATTTCTGATGTTCTGGGTAAGCAAATGTATTACGAAAAGACAAGTCTAGACATGCTTTCAGTTCTTGTTCACTTTTAAAAACAATTAATTAATGCTACCATACTTAGAGAAAATTACATACTCAGCTATCTTTCGTCGTACATTTACATTATAAATTGTTGCACAGTTCCATGAGCGCTTCAGCAGAGAGACAGGTTTTAAAAAAGTATATAATCAAAACAAAGGTTTTATTGTTAGATAGGGAATGGTGGTACATAGACACACTAGAATTATCAAATATATTTTTCCAGGAAAGAAAACACACAGTTTCATCTGTGACCTATTTTTAGAAATAATACTATATATACACCCACACACTAATGTGGCCAAAGACTGAAAACTTTTAAGAAGGGATGAATTCTGCATTTGCTGACAAATTCCTTTCAAGAAATGTAACTTTTGAAAAAATGTTCAGAAAAAAAACCTGTCAGTGTAACATTTTACTTTTCACTCCAATTAGTACTGCATTGTTCAGGCTGCACTTCTTTTTTTAGCTAATCTAACCACACTTCACTCCACAAAGAGAAATAGAAAAGAAAAACTCTGTATGCGCATGTGTGGAGGAGAAAAGGGGTAGGATCATACATTACAATTATCTTGGCATATTTCAGATTATTTTGCAGGAAGCTGTTGACCCTTTCCTCCATAAACATTATACGGTCAATTTATGACATGCCCCAAGGCCCTGATAAAATACTTTAACGTTGTACGATTGAAACGTGTGCTGGGAGCATGCACAACTGAAGGATGATTTAAGAGAGAACTCAAACTTTTGGAGTCTGGTAGCATATTGCTCCTCTCTCTATCCCGGACTAATGCTGGCTTGTCAGACACATGGGGAATTACAACAAAGTAACAAACTCTCTCGGTTTGATTGAACAAGACCACAATTAAAAATTCCAACAGCACACAAAGCTGATGCCTACACCGACAAGATTTCTAACGAAACTGATTTTGTGTACGCCAGGAGGGAATCTCTGTCTGATGTTCCTCTATATTGCTAGTGGTTGAAAGCATCAAGCAAGAACTGCCTATGCTCTATTTCCCCTCGACGGGCCATTCATCCAAATGTAACGTTGCTGGCTGCACACAGCATTAGTAGCCGGAGGCTGCTTTGCAATTGCCTGTAGTTGCTCCTCACGGCAAACTTGAAGCCGAAAGAGCCCAGGGGAAAGAAACCCGCGCCGCCCGCGTGTGTCGCAGGGTTACCTGGTTAGAACATACAGCAGCCCGGCAGCCTGCCCCGGTGGAAGCTCGAGGCGTCAGTAGCCCATGCCCCGGCAGCCCCTGGCAAACAGCAGCGGCGGCAGCAGAGGGGTAAGTCCAGCATCCACCAGATTCTCCCAAGCCTTTGGCTGTGGGGACTAAGCCACAGACTCTGCCTCCAGCTGACGTCAAAGTCACTGTCACATGGCCAGATGAAAGCCAAGAGAGCATTGGTTGTCGTAGCAACCGCAGCGCGGCTCTGAAATTATTTCAATAGGTCATCTGTCATCCTGTGTGCGCATCTGACCCCGCCCGGCGCCCTGGCAACCCAAACACGCCGGGCTCGGCTCAGTCCGCTGCAGGGAGCACTTGGTGCCCCCTTCCCTGGGCTGGGGGGGCTCATGTCCCGTTAGGAAAAGGCACGTGACTTACACACACAAACCCTCCTTCCCCAAGCCTCGCTGGGATGCCCCCCCCCTCCCACCCAGCACGTGGGGAACGTCTCGGGTGTGAGTTCACAGAGCGCCCCACGCAGCGCGGTGGGGGAATCCGCCTCGCTGGACAGCGCGCGCCCGCAGCGGGGCTTCTCTTCACAGCCACGGCAAGTGCCCGGGGGCAGCCTCGCCGGCCGGGCGCTGCCTAGCTCCTCGGGACAGGCAGCGTGGCTAATCAGCCGTGCACGAGTCTGAATGAGACCAGCTGCCGGCCCCCAGCTGCGCTCCCCGCCAACAGCCGAACAACTGGGAGACTGGACCCTTCCCCCCCCCCTCCACCCCAGTCTTCGTCCTTCATCTACTCCAAGCACATTGTTTGGAGAAGAGACATGCAGCCTCTCCTCCCCCGCCCCCCACTGCTCTGGAAGCAAACTGCCCCCTCCCCCTCAAAGCCTTAAACACGTTGATCCAGTCTTTACCCACTTTCTGGAGCCCTATTTTAAGACACAAGATCCCGATTTTCTTGCAGTTGTAGAGCATCTAAAAATCAGCTCCTCTACTCAGATTGCCACTTTCCTCCTGTCTATGGATCGCCAGGCATGCACAGCTTTGTAGCTGCTGCACAAAGGGGATCAAGGGAGCAAGAGGATTTCTCCTTTAGTAAGTGGCAAGGAAAGAGGGGTCCAATAAGGAATTATTGTTATGCTCATCTGAAGGAAGGAAGATGGACCATCAGTGCATAAGAGCAGAATAAGACACACACACACACACACACACACACACACACACACACACACACTATCAAAAGTTGGGGCATGCTACAATACAGAGTGCCCACAGCACAAATACCCAGTGGAAGTTCCTCTGAAGTTAGCTTTAGCCATCTCACAATCAGAAAGCTACAGCAGAAATGGACAAAAGGTAGACAAGGATAAGGAGTGTTAGAGGAAAGACTACAAGAGGTTTAGTATGAGAAGGAGCAGGGCTTGAGGGGAGATGACTGAAGTAAACAAAGCTAGGAAGGGATTGTTGAAAACTGACCAGCCCTCCTTTTCACACCGTTACAGAACCAGACACTTGATTATATTAATTTTTAGAACATTAAAACAATTAATTGTATGCAGTATTTAGAGAACATGTGGATTTCGCTCCTGGAAGAAATCAGTTGTTCAAATACTGTGAAAAACCACAACAGCTTATGCCTAAAATCTGGTGGGCAATAATTTCTGTAGGGAGGGTCACTTCACCAATTTTGGAAGTGGTTCCAGAGCAGCTCTGCCCTGGAAGGAGCAGGGCATTGGGCACAACGGTCAGGGCCTAGGCAGAAGGGGGATCCAGCCTGCTGCTCCCCAGCCCCCAGGCCCTGACTGGCCTGGGAATGGGGGAGCACGTGAAATCTCTTGGCCCCTGCCCCTGCCATGCTAGGGGTGCACAGTGCCCAGAGGGAACCACCAGCTGTTTTGAACAGCTGGCAGTTCCCTCTGATGCTGCACACCATTAGCAAGGGGAGGAGACTTTGCGTACTCTCCCACCCCAAGCCCCGATTAGCTGGGGGGAGGGGAGGAAGAATGGCAGGATGCGGGCCAGATCAAATGGTTTGGTGGGCCAGATCCAGCCCATCAACCTTGTCTTGCCCACCCCTGCTCTAAGGTGTTGCAGGATTCCTTGTTTTTGCAGATACAGATCAACACGGCTACCCCTCTGAGAGACTTTTCAAATACTGTGATTAGATTTGAAATACATGCAAATAATTCCCCTACTACAAATATTTGTGCAGTAGCAATTGAAGCTGAGAGAATAGCGAGTAATCTAATTTCATGCTTCAGGGCATATAACCATTACCTGCAGGGGTCAGGGAAAAATCTCTTGCCAAGAATAACAGTATGGCTCAACTGCTAGGTGCCTTCTCCAAGAGATACCGCCTTCCTCTTCAGCAGCTACCATTAGCCATTACCAGCACCAGGCTGATTGAGTATCCAGGCTCGCTGACACTTAGGGGGACCAAAGTTCAGATTTTTTTCTCCCCCCAGTTCTTTTCCTGTGTGATTGTAGGCTACATATTTCATGTCCCTCAGCTCTTCATATGCACAATGAAATATGAACCCTTCCCTACTTCATGGGGGTAATTGTGAGGAGATATATAGATATATATAAAGAATGAGGTGCTCAGATACTGAAGTAACATATGCCATAGAAGTGCCTATTAAATCCAGATAATTAGGATACTTGACTGCATGGACCTTTGGACAAGTCCACTATGATAAATCCTATATCTTCTTACTATATATTTTAGAAATGTGCATCTGTCTGTCCATTTGTTCAAGAACCTCTTATCATAACAAAGCAAGATCAGGGTTTGGTTGTGCCATGATAATGGCATGTGCTCGAAATTCAATTGTTTCTCATAAAATGGAAAGGGAGGAGGTCTGGCAGGAGGGAGTTATACTGCAGGATGACCACAAAGGGCAGTAGCAGGCCAGAGATAGGGACTGGGACAGCTATCTACGGGTATGTCTACACTACCCCCCAGTTCGAACTAGGGGGGTAATGTATGCATACCGAACTTGCTAATGAAGCCCGGGATTTGAATTTCCCGGGCTTCATTAGCAAGTTCGGTATGCATACATTACCCCCCTAGTTCGAACTAGGGGGGTAATGTATGCATACCGAACTTGCTAATGAAGCCCGGGATTTGAATTTCCCGGGCTTCATTAGCAAGTTCGGTATGCATACATTACCCCCCTAGTTCGAACTAGGGGGGTAATGTATGCATACCGAACTTGCTAATGAAGCCCGGGATTTGAATTTCCCGGGCTTCATTAGCAAGTTCGGTATGCATACATTACCCCCCTAGTTCGAACTAGGGGGGTAATGTATGCATACCGAACTTGCTAATGAAGCCCGGGATTTGAATTTCCCGGGCTTCATTAGCAAGTTCGGTATGCATACATTACCCCCCTAGTTCGAACTAGGGGGGTAGTGTAGACATACCCTACTATATATTTCAGAGTTTATGTGTCTGTCCCCCAGCTGGGGAGCATGTACCTCTTCTCAGGCTGGGTCTACTAGAGCTGCAGGGGCTATAGACAGGAGCTTCTCACCTGTCCCCAAGCTGCTGCTGAGAGACACAGCTGGGGTGTCCTCTCTCCTAGGGCAGCCTGTATACTGAACCCCTCATCCCCAGCCCTACCCCAGAACAATGACTTAAATGAAGAAACACAAAAAAGTAGAGTTAAGCACCTGAACAATGATAGGTAAATCTTCTCATTTTTATATAAAATGCAATACACATTGCTGATTAGTCACCAAGGTAGACATTCATCTTTATAAATCCCCAAGATGAACAGACAGATCCAAAGAAACTAGGCATGGAAACTAACAGCAACATTCTGCACCTCAGATTACTGCCATCCATCCTACTGATCTCAACAACAAAGAGTTTAAGATGGGATTTTTTCAAATGATTATTTATATAAGTATATCAAACATTTTACAAGTAAAATGCCCATAATCAGAAATCCAGAGACACTAACAGCACAAGCAGAACATGTATTTTAAAAGCCATAGAATAAATTTTCTAACATATATAGCAACATGTGTCATACCCAGAGGAATGAAGTTTCAAAATTTGCCATGTAAACTGCTATGGTTACATGATTTGCATTTATGAATACTTGCTTGCACCACATATATCTTGCAGTTACAATTTAAATACCAACCCTTAGTGCATTTTTGTGATGGTACTGCACGGTACGCAGTACTGGCACCTCCAGACGCAGTACCGGCTCCTCCAGTCAGAACTCAATAACTTTTCCCCCCTGGAGTACCAGCTTTTTTTTTTAACACAAAAAAGGCACTGCCAACCCTCCATAGCACTTAGTACTTACCAACTGGTAGAGTTTGTCAAAAACTTAAGTAGCTGACCAGTGGCATTTTTTTTTAAAAAGAAGGCTCCATGAAAAACAGTGCAGACATGTCCTTTGCAAATATTTCAGTGGCGATTTTTTTATCTTTTATTTTAAACATTTCATAATTATAGAAATGTTACTGGCTTCAGTAAAATAGGCACATTTTGCTAAATTAAAAATTTCAGTATTGATTTTAACAAAAAGTTTGGACTGGATTCCCACTGAAATCACATAAAGTCTATTAATAAAGTGAATCTATATTATCTTTCTCCTGGAGCCTCTTGGGCAGTTCACCACCTTTTCCCAACCCCAGGATATGCTTTGTCAACAATGTTAGCCTTGATTATCTTGTTTCTCCAATAAGCACCTATATGATACCAGTTATGTAAGGAATAAACTCCCTGTCAAAATCCACAAATCCACCACTCCTCAAACCCTCAGGACTTCTCTCTGCCTGCTGCCTATCAACCACCATCAGCTGATAGTGATTATACAGGTGCTGAGTAGACTTCTGAAAACATGGTTATTTTACAGTTTTCTTGTCCTCACCACTGACGACTACTTCAATCACTGGCTGTAAACCTAGGTTCTGAGTTCTCAAGGGCATTTTGCTATTTCCAAATAGCAAGTCCACACGAGTGGACGCTGAATCGCATTTAAGGCTGGCCAGAACCAGTTCCAGCAAGGCATCAGGTCAGGACTTCTGTGTGGGGCTGCTGCCTGAGGCTATCTGAGGTCTGTGCTTAAAGGGACCCCCACCCCCACCCCTCGGACAGCTGATTCTCAGCTTTCCCTGCTTGGGGAAAGCTGTCAGTATCCAGGAGGCCCTGCAATAGAGCTTTCCACCCTGAGGAGCACTAAGAGC